AACATTTGAGCAAAGTTTTCGGGGGGGAAATTGGAGCGTACCAAAGCCGTACATCCCCAAAAACAGGGCGTACCATGTAAGCCTGTGAGCATTGCTAGCTAACAGCTTGTCCTTCGCTGACTAAAACCAGGTTCTGTCTTCCAGGCAGAGGGAGAGGTGACGTCTCTGAGCCGGCGGCTGCAGCTCAGCGAAGAGAACCTGGACCGGGTTCAGGAGAGACTGGCCACCGCCCTGCGTAAACTAGATGAGGTGGAGAAGGTTGCTGATGAGAGCGAGAGGTCAGCGTTCCTCACTGACGAACATCAGAACCTCATGATCTGCATCTCAGGCGCTTTCAGTTTTACCTGAAGACGGGTGTCTGCAACCTGCTGCTCGTTGGACCCCATCCAGCATAATGGCTAAATGTATATAAAGAACTAAATAATGCGCCAAAATTAAATTAAAAGCTTAGGTGTTTTTTACAAGATGGAAAAACAAGAAATTAAAAGAAGCAGAAATATGTCTTTAGAGCCATTTTTCTTCTACTGATCTTGGAAATGATGTGTTTTTAATATTATTTTAAAAGCTAAAAACACGTTAATTGTTGATTTTCTCTTTGGATATGAAAGGTTGCAGACCCCTGCCTTAAGGCGATGACATCAGTGACTTTGCTTAGGCTAATGCTAACTCTTTAATGAGTCTCTGACCACTTTAATCCCCCCCACCACCACAGAGGTATGAAGGTGATCGAGAACCGAGCTCTAAAAGACGAGGAGAAGATGGAGCAGCTGGAGGTTCAGCTGAGGGAGGCCAAAATGATCGCCGAGGAGGCCGACCGCAAATATGAGGAGGTACCAGACTGATAGCCACGCCCCCACACAGTGACATCACTAGATTAACCTGCTGCAGGAGCAGGGCGCCGCCATTTTTACAGTATATACATAGAAGAGGAGGTTTAATTTAACTTCAGAAATAAAATAAAAATTGTTGCTGATTGATTCTATGATCAACCAAAACCAAAAAAATTTACAGTTTTTTATGATAATTCTTATAATTATTAATCTTTTTAAAGCAGTTCCAGCTGTATCAAATAACTAGAGAATAATCAAATAAAAACATCTTCTAGCATCTTAATAAACGTATTTATAAGATAAAGAAACGGGAAGTTATTGAATGAAAAGATAAACCAAAAAGTGAAACACTTTATAGTCGCTCTAAAAATAGTCCGACTGTTTTAATAAAGTCGACGCTGTGATTATAGCTTTCTGTTTTTAGTTTAATTCAACAATCAGAGATGTTAAAGCTTTTTTCCTGCTACTAGCGCTTTTAAACGGGTGGTTCTGGTTCTGGTTGCTTTCAGTGGAATAATAACTCGCAGATATTTTGCGTAACGCTCTCAACTTTTCTATCATCGCCTCCAAAAAACAGCAGAGAAGTTCTGCTGCTCCTCCATGCAGCTCAGCTAAATTTAAACTGTAAAGATTTCTGGACCAGACTTGGATCCCTTCTGGGTTCTGCTCTAGAATCCGTCCCCTTTGGCATTAAGGCTGGTTTATACTCAGAAACCAGGTGGTCTGTGTGTCGCAGTAAATGCAGATATGCCCCGCCCGTTCCGCAGACACTCTGCTGCACCTCTCATAAATTGTAGGTGAGCGCAGACAGGAGGCCTCTGATTGGTCTAATCTACATCAGCTCTACTCTACACGTATTTCATGTTTGGTTCCTTACCGGTTTGTTTTGTTTGTATGACTGCCATTTTGGTCGCACAAACTTGCCTCCACTTCCTTGCCGCCTCGGCTGTATCTAGACCCACAGCTAGTTCCTGATTGGCCCTCTGGTGTTGTGGCGTGGAATAACAGCGCAGACCACGCTTCAATATTGGACATAAATGCTGTGGGACGATAACCAGCTCTTTAACCCTATATGGCTCTCGGTAAAAATCTAAAAATCAACATTTCCAGCCTGAAGTGTTATTGGAATCCAGGACAAGACCTTATTACATTCGTAATATTAAAAAAATGTGGATATTTTGATGGTAAAAATGGATGTCAATGTAATAACAGGAAAAGCCAACTTACCCGAATATATTAAGAAAAATAAGAGTTTTTTTTCCCATGAATTTCTTATAGAAGCACTTTTGAGTAAAAGAAACATTTTTTTTTTTTGGTACAAGGTAACCTTAGAGGCATTAATGCTGATACTGGCACTTACATTTTTTTTTATTCTATAAACCTACAGGTGCTGGT